CCCCCCCCCCAAGCTTGACCCATTTCAGGTGTCCATGGAGCTTTGGGGGATGGTTCAAAACAATCAAGTGATCAGTCCAGGAGGAGGATTTCTCCATGGCTCAGCCTGTCCTAGGGTCACCCAGGCTTTGTTGTGCTGTGCTGCCTATGTTCCTTGTACAGACCAGGGTCACCCAGTCTCTGCAGTGGTGTAGATAGTGGGAATTGCTGCCACCACTTGAATGGTCTGCCATTCAAACAGCAGCAGCAGGGTACCCCCAGGGCTCTCTGATACTTTGTTGCTGGGCAGACTGCTGGGAACCAGTGCTCGCCTTCCCCATCTCCCCCTTAGGGTGGAGGAGGGAGAAGAGAGGTCTGTGAGATACTGAGGGTCTTCATTATTTTGAGAAGAACATTGCTAACCTGAATGGCTGTGTGCAAAACTTCTTGGGAGAGTTCTACTTGATTGGAAGTGCTCTTATTTTGTGGGAGAACCACTTCTCTTTCTTTTGCAAAAAACCCTTGAATGACTGCATTTATTTTTTGTGCCAGAAGAAAGGCATTTCTCCTGGCAAAGATGTATAGATTAAGCCTATGCATAAATGTTATAGTCTTTTACCATGGTAGTCTGGTAATTTATAAAGCCCCAGATAAATGGGCCCCAAACCAAAAAATGGGTGTCACATATAGCCTATTAAGGAAAAATATTCTCAAAGTCTCAGTTCACTACCTATTGAATCATTCAGATGGTCATGCTTTATAAGCATCATAATAGGAATGGTGTGGGTTTTTTCTTGCACCAGCTAACAAGATGTTTTTGTTTTAAGATTGATCCCATGAAGTATCAATGTCTGGTGTTCAAGAACAAAACCATTGTAGGACCTCACTCTACAGAGGAACTGAAAATACTTTTCTTACCATGTTATCCTGGAGTCTTCCAGTGTGTCTGCAGCGTTTCTTCCTGGCCAGTTTCTGCAGATGCAGAGACAATAGTCCAAGCAGAAGCCTTGGCCACTAGGGTGGTTTTGACCGCAGTTGCTGAAAATCCTAATCTAGAGGTAAGCAATTTATTGGACAGATTTTCTGTGTATTGTTACAGTATTTACAAGGTACAGTATAGTATTTGCTTGAATCACAGATGAAAGTTTTCTCCCTCACTTAACATGGTAGTGGGGGATGTCCCTCACTTTGGATTTGAGTACAAGGTGGTGAAGGGGCAGGCAGCTGCTTGCTACAGCTCTGACTCCAGCCCCAGTTTTGGAGCTCCTTATGATTAAAGAATAAAAGATATACTGCCTATATTTAAAAATGGGCAGGGGATGTGATCCAGCTATCTATAAACTGTTAATCTGACTAGAATATTATCCAAGTCTTTCAAAAAAAAAAAAAAAAAAAAAGTGAAGGGAAGACCAGTTAGACATGGAGGTAAAATGGAAAAGGGATAAAATGCAATGTGGCTATATCAAAGCTAAACTATGTCAAGACCTAACTCAATAGCTACATTTTGATGAGATTCTTTTTCTAGATGGAGGAATTATAGAAATCATCCAGCTGGGTTTCAGTAAAGAATTTGATACAGTGCTACGTGGAAAATTTTATTAGTGAAACAAGAATATGGGGAGTGGATGAAGGTGGTGGTGGTGGTTGTTATTATTATTATTATTATTATTATTATTTATTTTTTTTAATGAACTGACTAAAAGGGTCAGTATGGGTAGCATTGAAGGGGGACCATTGAGTGAGGAGGAAAGTTCCTAATGAAGGTCATCAAAGAATAATACTGGTTTTGCTCTCATTTAAGAAAAGATTCACTAATGAAAGTCAATCTTTTCTTAACGACCTTCCCACAGAAGTGTAAGAATGCTGGATGAAAAAAAAATGCTTATGGCAAAGGCTAGAAAGAATTCTTAGTACAGGGTGATCAGGATCAGAAAGGTTTGCCAAATGGTTTTCAGGACTAAATAGTGCATTAATGGTGCTTTAATTAAATGGTGTGAAATGTAAGGGTGTTTACTTGAACTAATAACAAGCTTTAAGCTGGAAGTTTACCAGTTAGAAACAACTGAGGATAACTACTGATCAATTGCAGAATAACTGTGAGCAGACTATATGTATTGCTGGACTTTTTTTTCCATCAGTTGAACATTCTGGTTAAGAAGAGTGCTGTTTTTTTGATTAAACCTCTTTTGGAATACTTTGTCTTGGAATCCAAACAAGTTAAAGGGATCTTAGATCTTTACCTAACAAATCTCTTTCTTTCTTGATGCATAAGTATTTTGTTTTACCATTGTTGTTAGTCAATAAAAACAAATTAAAAAAAATCAAATGCACTTTAAGTTTCTGGGGTTTTTTTAATAAACCCATTTAACATTTATTTTTAACCACCTGAACTTGCTGTAATATATGTTAATTTAAAAAGGCTATATCAGTAAGCCTTCTATACATTTTTAATGTGTTGGGGTAGGGGTGCACTGATAAATATTTTGTTGGCCAATACTGATAGCCAATTATTCATTCACCCAATACCGATCCAGGAATGCAACCGGGCAATATGGAGAGCAGCTCCCAACAGGTATGTCTGTGGTGGGAAGGGGCGTGGAGATGCAGATCAGGGCCCCCGTGGTGTGGGGACAAAGTGGGGCTGGGGCTGGATGAGGGTGCTGCCCAGCCAGGACAGTGAATGGGACCCTAGGGCAGGGAGCGGGACAGAGCCATGAGCAGCTCATCCAGGGGATAAGCGTCCCAGTACCTAAAAATGATGGCGGGGGCGCTTGAATTAAAGCTTGTCAAATGAGTTTTAGTTCAAGTGCTGCCACCACTATTTATTTTTAAGTGCAGGGATGCTTTTGGGAGTAGAGTTGAGTGGGGCAAGGGCAGAGGCAGGATTCCTGCTGTAGGCACAGGGCTCTCTGCCCTGCTGCCTTTGCCCCAGGAGCTGCGCACTGGCTGTACATCCCCTGCCTGCCTGATCCCAGGGCTGCTGGGGAGGCAGGGGGCGTGCAGCTGGCATGTGGCTCCCAGGGCAGAGGCAGCAGGGCGGAGAGCTCTGAGCATGCAGCCCACCTCCACCCCATGCACAAATTGGGGGGGGGCACATGCCCCCATGCCTCCTCTCAGGAGGGTGCATGCAGCAGCAGGAGCTGCCTACCCCCCCCCCCCCCCCCCCGGGTGAGCCCCCCGCGACCTTCCCCCCCCCCCCCCTCCCCGGGTGAGCCCCCCGCGACCTTCCCCCCCCCCCCCCTCCCCGGGTGAGCCCCCCGCGACCTTCCCCCCCCCCCCCCTCCCCGGGTGAGCCCCCCGCGACCTTCCCCCCCCCCCACTCCCAGGATGAGCCACCTGCGACTGTCCCACTCCTCTCCCTGCCCCAGCCCTGGGACCCATTTACTGCCATGGCTGTTCAGTGCCCCCTCCCAGTTCCTGCCCCACTCCCTCTCTCACTGGAGGCCACAATCTGTCCCACACCCCTTCCCTTCTGCAGACTTACCTGCAGGGTGCTGCTATCTACCTTCCCCTCTCCAGACTTGCCTCCCCAGCTGCATTCCTGGCCACATGCATGCTGTTGAATGCATGCATGCAGTGTCCAGGGGCCTCACCAGAAGGCATATTATTTATTGGTACATTATCAGCTACACCAGCCAAAAAAAGCCAATAGGTGATGATGTTAATTTTCCTTTTATCACTGCTGATCAGTTGGAGTACTCTTTTTTTGTTTTGTTTTGGGGGGTGTTTTTTTAATTATAAAGGAAGTTTGTGTGGCATTGTTTTAACTTTTAAGGTCAACTTGAGCTTTATAGATGTCACGAAGCTTATGGTGCATTAAGGGTCTGTTTTTAGTCCTTCTGGGTACAGACAGAAGTTCAGCTCCCAGCTGTAACTCGGGAACAATTTTTGCAAAGCTTTCTGAGTTACAGTGTTACCCCAGACCAAACAGAAGTTCACTGTTGATTCCATGGGAGAGGGGAGTCTAGCAGCAGCTGGGAGCCTACAGCCAGGTTCCTATAGCAATGGCCAGGTTCTCTGCCAGTGTCTTCTGGTTTCAGAATGGGAGAGGGAAAGGCTGTGGAGGGAACTCATTCTTGGGGCTCCCCAACTGGTGCTAAAGGGTGGGGTGGGTGACTTGGGGAGGGCGTGTTGAAAAATCCCCTGACTGAACTCCCTCTTTTCCCTTTCTCTACTCCCATTCTGAAAACAGCGAATGGGAGCTCCACAGGCACAAGTTACAAAAGACGTTACATTTTATTATATCTTTATCTGATGCCTCATGCAATGAGGGGTCAGATTTTCACCCAGTCGGCCATTTTTTAATCTATTTGCAACTGTCTGCTTGTGTTTGGTCACAGCTATAACTGCTTTTTGTGGCCAGATCAGGTGAAAAATTGTCACTTCTGTCTGCACCTTATAATAGACCAGATTAATAGTATTTGCATTTTTCCAAAGGCAAAACAAGGACAATATTGTCTGTTTAATGTCAAAGTCATCTTATTTTTCCTGCTTAATGGTAAGGAGACTGCAGAATTGGGGGATGTCTAGAATAATCTGGAGACTCCTGATCCCATGTGGAAAGATGCAGGTTACAGAGAACTTAGTTTATTCTGGGAAAGCAGCAACTGTCCTAGCAGAAACCATATAGTGTGTATGGACATTCAGGATTTTTCTCCAGAGCAAGAACGGCTGCTCCAAGAGAGAAATAATCCGGGGATAGCCAGGGTTAAATGACTCCCAGGAGAGTTTCTCTTGGGAAGCTGCAGCACAGTCCTCCAGCGTAGATTTAATAGACATTTGGGCTGGAAGGGACCTCGGAAGATTGAGTCCAACCCCCTGCCCCAGGGGCAGGAAGTCAGCAGGGAACATAGGATCCCAGCAACATAAGCATCCAAATGTGTCTTGAAGATGTTCAAAGTGGGTGCTTGAACCACCTCTGGCAGCAGTCTATTCCAGACCGTTGGGGCTCAGACAGTGAAGAAGTTCTTTCTTATATCCAGCCTAAATCGGTCACAGTGGAGTTTGTGACCGCTTGATCTTGTCATCCCTTGGTGGGGCTCTTGTGAACAGATGTTCCCCCAGATCCTGATGAGCACCCCTAATAAACTTATAGGTGGCCATCAGATCACTCCTGAGCCTGTGTTTTTACAGGCTGAATAGGTCTATTGCTCTCAGCCTCTCATCATAAGGTCTATTTTCCTGACTTCTGATCATGTGCGTGGCTCTCCTCTGCACCCTCTCAAGCTTCTCCACATCCCCTTTGAATTGTGGAGCCCAAAACTGGACGCAGTACTTCAGCTGCGGCCTCACCAAGGCCGAGTACAGTGGGAGAAAGACGTCCTGGGATCTGCTTGAGAAGGATCTATGGATGCAAGCTAGTGTTTTGGTTGCTTTACTAGCTGCAGCATCACACTGCAGGCTCATGTTCATCTTGTGGTCGACCATGACCCCCAAGTCCCTTTCATCTGTAGTGCTAACCAGC